CTCTTAGGGTATCCCATATCTGTCCAATGTGTTCGGCTTTGCATACAGCACATTGTATGACATACATCAAGTTCTTGGAAGCACAAATTTATATTTTCACGGACATAGAAAGTTTTCCGTCTTTAAATGTGAAAGAACAACATTGTAAACATTGCAAGTACAACAATTAGGTCTGTTTTACATTTGTACTGTTTTACATTCTTGTTTTCCTTTTGAGAAAGAAGCCCTTGTATGGCTCTGTCTTTACCTTTTAATAAGTTTATTTAGTGACATTTTCATTTTTAGTTCTTTTAACTTGTTTACAGAATACAATGTCTCCCGAACATTTCCTGGCTTTAGGGATTAATTTATTTTGATTTATTTAGCCTTGTTTATTGCGTCTTCTACTATTTTTCTGGGGCAGTTTCTTTCTTATAGTGACTCCCTTAGGTCATTGAGTCTATATTGTGCACGATCTAATTTAGATAGTATTGCGCAGATTCAAGGTGCTAAAATATAAGGAGTAAAGGACACTGTTTTTAGAATAAACGTAAAACTATTGATAATCTATTCCTTGGTAATGTCTTCCGATGATTTCTGAACGGTGTTTTTTTTTATCCAGTAATCAATAGCTACTATGCCAAGAGGGGCGGTCGGGTAGCCTAATGATTAAATCGTTCGCTCGTCACGCCGAAGACCCGGGTTCGATTCCCGACATGGGTACAATGTGTGAAGCCCATTTCTGGTGCCCCCCGCCGTGATATTCCTGGAATATTGCTAAAAGCGGCGTAAAACCATACTCAGTCAGTCAGTTCTATGCCAAGACCATGAGGGATGTTTGAATATAAACTAACCACATCAAAACTGACTAACGTTGTACCATTTTCGACTGAGGCGGGCAGTTCAGAAAATCAGTGGAATCTTTTTTTGTAGTTTTTGACATAGTGATTGGTTTTAGCACTTTATCCATAAGAACACTGATTCTGTGTGTAGCACATTTTGGTCCAGCAACTATTGTATTAGCGCTTTTTATGAACTTTAGGGAGGCCAAACAAATTACTTTCTTGCAATTCAAAATTAACTGTATAATCCCCTTCGTTTTCAGTCAGTGAATGTGAATATACTAATCTTTTAAGATTAAGTAACACAGATTTCTCCGAACTGTCTGAAAGCTTTCTAACACAATTCATCTTTTATAATATCTGAAATAATGAAAGTTCTTTGTAATAATAACTGGCCATAATTATTATAGCGCCTTTAATTATCAGCATCTTTAATAACAATTGAATCGATATTTTGATGATCTGTTTAGAGCCGCCCGTTCGTTTTTGTAATGTTTGATTTACCTCTTTGAGGGTTTACAGTAAAAAGTAAATCTTTGAGGTGGTTAATAACTGTATCTAGACTTTGTTACTACCAGGTGTCGGAGTGAAGGTGTTTTTGTTTCTAAATGATGAAGTACCTTAAGTTTGTTACTGGCATCAATATCAAAATAACGAAAATCAGACATATCCGTTTCTAGTTCATGTAAATCCTGTTTCATTGGAGTACGGGTGAACGTCATACCTTTGAGTAATACAGAAAATCTCCTCCTCCATTACATCTACACCAGATAAGTTAATTACCTTTGGTTCTATTGTTGAGCTTCCCGTACATGGGGGAACCCCGCTGTCACTAAAAAGAACTATAGCCTTGTTGATTAAAGTGTTGATATCCATCTTCATCTCGATCTCGACCACGTCCTAAGTTTGGAAATGTCCTTTCCTGTTATCACGGGCTTGTCCTTGGCCCCGGCGATTGTGGCTTGGACTTCTTTGGCGACCTTGGCCTTGTTGTGCCTCTGGGTCAAAACCACAAGCATGGCGAAGACGGTAATAATATGAGCTACACCATCATGTCGTTTAAGATAGTGTGTTTGTGACAAAGCTGGGCATCCACTGACAATGTGTTGGACAATCTCATTCAATTCATTACATAATCTACATTTAATATTCACATTTTGATGCAAAATCACACATTGACGGTTTCGAGTGGGAAGTGACTGGTCCTGAGCAGCAAACAGAAAGCCTTCTGTTTCACTTTTCAGGCCAGATGACATCATCCAAGCGAAGGACTCTGCAGGATTGCTGATCTTCTTAACACACATCACCTCGATACAGTGGTCGTTTAGAAAACCTCTCCTTGAAAAACTGAGTCTGGGCCGACTTGATATGACACTTCGCTTGGTTGACACTCATTTCTGTACCGTCCAGCAGTACAGAACCATCAACAAAATCAACACCGACATTTAGACTATGTCCCACATCCTTGGCTCGTTTTAGAAAACTGTGGAATGCCTTAATTTCATCATGAGTCTTGACATGCTTCACAAGAGGATCATCAGACAAATAAATGTGTGCAAAAGTGCACAAATCAATTCTATCATGAAAGGCCCCAACGTTAATTAAACCACGTCCTCCCATAATGATTGGTAAATATAAGCGATTGAGGGAAGAGCGAGGGTGGTGGGATCTGACATGATTCTTCGTGTGAGGGTGTCAATACCCTGAATGTCTTGTTTCGTTCAGTCAGCAACACCAAAAGGATATGAAAGGACGGGTACAGAATAAGTATTTGTGGCTTTGACTTTATTGCGAGCGTTCAGCTCTGAACTCCAGATTTTCCTTAAGTCTACATTTGTACTCTGCCCGAAGTTTTTCCTTGATATAGACATTCTGTCCCTAATCTGGATCACTTAGTATGTATAGGCCTGACCTTCCACGATATTATTTTTGTTTTTATTATTATTATTATTATTATTTTTTAAATTATTATTATTATTATTTTTTTTTGCACCCTTAGTGAACACACCAACATGGTAAGCTAAACATGGTAGCCTAAATATTATAAGAACGTTATATAATCAAAACACTTCACAAAAAGATGCCAAGGCAGATATTTGGGTTGTTCGTTTAAGTAAACACGTTCGTGGTTACATGTATTTGTGGGACAACGTTTCTTTAATAAAAAGTCTCAGTCACATGATCCACTGTCATAATCTAACAAACAAGCTAAAGCTTTATCTTCCCCATGGCCACATGCAATTGCATATCCCTTGCTTATGTACTGAGCATCATTTGTCCAACTTAGCGAGCTGTGACGTTATTTGCATACTCTGCAGGGATACCGAACGCATGACGAGATGGAATTATTTGATTGCCCTTATATTTCCAATGTATTTCATGAGGTTTGATTGAATATTGATGCCTGTATATGGTCATGAACGGGAATCAAATACACGAGTGTGTACTTGTGCGTAGGCTATTAATAGCCTGAATCACCAATTACGAGTCGTTTCTCTACGGGTGAGGCGTTGCTCATTTGTTTAGCACCGCGACAACCCTAAGATAATGATGTGTAAATGACGAATCTGCTGTTAATATATCATTAGGATTGTTGGCTTGCCGACTTTTTTGTTCAACTTGTTTTATTGTTGCCATTACCAAATGAGGCAGGATGAATTTAATAAACAACTACGACCTCGTGGTTCATGAAGGCTTGACACAACCTATTCCAAGTTTCGAACTTATCATTAATATATATGTTATATGTAGAATATATATATAATATTTATAACTGTTCAACAACTCCTTGGTTTAGTATTTCTAAATGAAAAACTTCAGTGCTGAACAAGTGCGTTAGAAATGTCTATTGATCTTTCGGGGAAGCTTTTATTTAAAACCATTATAACTATTGGAATAAATTGTAATCATTAGACGCACCTTGAAAGGACCGAAGTTACCTACAAAATCATTAGCGTTGACTAGACAACGAAGGATCAACAAATCCACACCAGATAAATTTCTTGATAAAAGTTTAATGCGACGGATAAACGCAACGACAAGGTGTTTCGATTCAAATAGAAAGTATCTTTCATAACTAAACCTGCTACACCATCATCTGCCGTATCGGACATTCACCAGTTTGTAAGTAATATTATAGAGATTCACTTTGTACATTATTGTACATGACTTTCACTTGAAATACAGTTTTTGTACATAAAGCACCAGATGTAATGTATGCTCAATAATATAGAAATAGGTATTGGAATTATACAGAGATTGAACAGAGGTAATAACATGTTCTGCTGTATTAACTATACCCTTCTTGCTAGAAGTAACGTGAGCAGCAATGTTGTACGTATAGAAAGTGTCTGTTTCAATGACTTATCTGAATACCATGCACGAGTTCTGCACGAATCATGTCAGAGAGCAGGGTGAATATGGAATCTGCTGATTGCTTTTGTTAATATTGTTGGGTTGGAAGTATGAATGCATACAGTATCTATATTTTAACATGGACTCACATCAAGCGGTCGTTTGTCCGTCTCGGCTACATGAAGCAATGATAGTTTTGCTCCTTCTCGCCTGAACATACTCTCGTGTCACTAGATTTCGTGGTTCATTGATGACTTGATTGTCTGGTTTGTTTTCAGACTGACGTCGCATGGCAGGAGTACTGCTGTGCTGCGTCGGGCGAAAACCTGGTCTCATCACTGATTTTCAGTGGTCGAATCCATTCATATAATGTCCACAGCTATTTGCCCTTTGCGAGAAGTGGAATCGGTCTCGGTAGAAAATCTAGTCCGGTTATTCTCTTGCATTGCCAATTCATATATCTTGAAATGTGTCATTGTCATCGACAACATATGCTAAAGCAGTGTATGCTAAATACGTACTAAATATTAGGGTTGTCCTTTGGATTCCAAGTGCATTATGACATATGAAAGAAACTGAGACCAAACAAAGTGAAATATAATACAATGTCAGGTGTCAAGTGTGGGCTTCATATGACCTCTGGAGACCATAACTAAAATGTGGAGAAAAGCAAATAACTTTTTTTACTTCTATTAATTACAACGCTCCACATATATGGGATTTGTGTTGGTTAGTAGGAACGTTAAGATGCATAATGGATTAGAATATATGTCAATATAATCAGGTGGAAACTGCTAATGTTTGTCAACATGGTTTATTGAGCCTAGCTTTTAGTATATGGTGGAAGAACAGTGCCAACACGGCACAAGGCTGACTTAAGACATACATAAGCTACCTTAGTTTAGTTTCTCGTTTTGTATTAATGGGTAACAGGAGGTTAAAAGAACAGGAAATAGAACATTGGTAATTGAGTCCATTCTTTTTGCATGGAAGAGATAATTATATAAAAAGTCATAATTGCTTTTTATATTGAATGATTCTCGAAACCCTAGCCTATAGCGAGCAGTTTTCAGAAAGAATGGAATGTGTTTTAAAAAAATTACATATCCTGTTATGAGCTAAGATATTTCCCCTGAAACTCAAAGCCTGCCACGTTTCTTCATACAGCCTGAGATTGCACCATGGCGCTCGTGAAACTTCAGCTACACCTCTCTCTGCTGCACTTCCTCCCCTCGGACATAGCCCCGCCAGGAAGTGTGGAGAATGTGCTTGACTGCTTCAACGCTTGCTTGAAAAACCTGCAGTGCGTCTCCCTGATTTACGACAGATACAACAAACAGTGCTACGCCTACCCAGGCAGGCTTGAGGTTCCCTTCTGGGGAACTGACCTCAATACCGACCTCGACATCTACAATACCAACAGAGGTAAGTGAACCTGTCTCGTCTTAGCAATCATAATGTGAAACAGCTTCCTGGCATGCGTTTGACCAAATCACTGCACATGCACACGGTCGTACCAGATTATCAAACAAGATAGAATCTATTTCAGAACAATTCAGTGAAACAAAGAGATAGTCATTCTGAATATGTAAGACTGTAACTGGGGAGCTGGTGCAAACAAACTGGCACATATAGTTTCATAAACTTTGAAATACATCAGTTCAGAGTTTTCTCACTTATTCCACAATGGAATATTTCATGTTGAATTTTATAATAAGCGACTTTGTTGAATACAGGCAGAACATATATAAAAAAGGATGGGTTGTCGAGCTGAATTAAGGAAACATGGATACGAGCCATTTATCAAAGGTTGCTTTTGTATATGTTCAAACATTGTCTTTTAACATCATCATTGTTTACCCACATACACACCCGGCATCGCAAGTGCGTACCTTAGCACTTTCCTGTATGTAAAAATTCAAACTCACTATCGTCGTGAAATACACTCTCCCGCGTGTGTCCCGCCCGAAATAATTGCCACGCATTATTGAACATAAATCCTAAGCGCCTAGCCTGTTTTATACGTTAACACGTGTTGTGTATATATTGTCTTATCTTATGGACACGATCTGCAGGTAGCAGTGCAAAACACAGTGTTGTTTATGTATACTATAAAAGATTTGAAGGTGACAGGAATAATTATACATTGAATTTGAAACTGAATGGTATTATGTTTAAGCGATATATTCTGTATATTTATTCGCATGTAGGATCGTTTATGCAATGACAAGGAGTATTGATTGATACAGGGAACATGTACCTTTCCCTCATATTATGAACCAAACATATAAACACACTAGGAAGGGTAATGTATATTTTAGAATCATTTCCTTTAAGAACTTGGAAAACAAAGTCTTATACTATGGCGCGAGCGTGCGTGCGTGCGTGCGTGTGCGTGTGTGTGTGTGTGTGTGTGTGTGTGTGTGTGTGTGTGTGTAGTTCGGACTGATGCCGAGTTATAGTCCAAGCCCACTGAGATACCATGCCGCAGTTTATTAGAGAATACCACAATCATTCTCGCTATATACCACTTTTATGAAACGAGTGGGCTTTCTATGGTATCTGACCGAACGAAGGGCAAGGTCACCATCGGAATAAGACAAGACATACGTGACCAATTCACAGCGTTTTACGGACTGATGCCGTTTTACGTTTTTTTTCACATTTGGGTTGTTTGAGCCACAAAGCAGAATTCAGGCACACTTTCAAGGAGTTTCCGAATGCTTTGGATCGGAATTGTTCACTTTGAGTGATCTGGTCGTGCAGTTGTGTATGTTCATTGAATGCGGACACTGATTGCACAACCGGAGCAACCAACGGAAGTCTAGATATCTGTCCAGATAGTTTAAACTGACTTAATTTCACCACGCTCAACCTTTTACGTTAAATCAAATTGAAAGTCGCGAAAGTGCTCGGGTGCGTCACGCTCATTGGGACCCAGGATCTATCGGTCGTGGTACATTGCATAATGAGATAGCTTGATTATATATAATGTCTGTAGTAGCTCTTTGCATAACTAAAATAGAATGCAAAGCGAATTCGATGCGTGTGACGATCATGTTTGGTTTTATAAAGTGTGTGTAAATGTCTCTCGCTTCCGTAGTTGCCTTGTAATTGTATTAATGAATGATGATACTTGACGTCGGTATGGTATCTCAGTGGGCGAGCATTATAAGACCGGCAAGCAGTCTCGCTCCCACATCACCCACCCAAAACACACACACACACACACACACACACACACACACACACACACACACACACACACACACACACACACACACACACACACACACACCCAAAACACACACACACACACACACACACACACACACACACACACACACACACACACACACACACACACACACACACACAACCACGCATGCATGCATGCACGCACGCAAAAACGCATAAACGCGACTTTATAACCCATTCCTTCTCACCTCATCTTGTACAATGAAACAAAATATCGTCAATGTATTTGGTATATTCACACCGTACTGCCACTGCTGCTACGTCTACTTAACCTTTCACCATTAAGTAGTAACTTAATCATAGAAGGATTGTGTCTGGAACGTAATATGGCTACATAGGTACACTATTCTTTTATGCCATGACGGGGCGGTGGGGTACCCTGGTGGTTAAAGCGTTTGAGCCCAGGAGCGATTCCCCACATAGCTACAATGTGTGAAGCCCATTTCCGCCGAGATATTGTTGGAATATTGCAAAAAGCTAACTCACTCACTCACTTTATGCCATGAGAAAATTTATTTATTAGTTATACTTGTCACTTTCCTCCTACATATACTTATAATTCATTTGTTGTTCTTACTTGTTAATACCAGAACACCAAGTCATACCGGACCGTACGCCTTTTGTTGTATAAGTTAGAAACATTAAATTTGTGAATGAAGAGTTACAAAACCTTAATACGATATTGAACATACTTCATAGAAATTATGCACATGCAGTAGCATTTAATATTTCTGGCTTATTTCTGAAGGCACTTATTGTGACGTAACCACAAACTTCATTTCCCCAGCATCATTCAAAGGACAGGGCAGTTTTTGTGCATAAAATTATTTTGGACAGTGTGTAACTTCATAAACAGTTAAAAACATTTCGTACACACCTGTGGGTGAGAAACCCATTTGAGGTAACTGGTATCAAACATATGTGTGAGATCGAATTCCAGGCCCTTTATTGGCTACTCAATGGTGATGACCTGAAGTCAGTTTATGACGGACTACTTTCCTGAACGTAGTCATTGATAAGTTGCTCGTGCTTCAGTCGAATGTTCACAACGTCTGTGTTGAACCACAGGACCGTATAATTAATTAATTTATTATTATTATTGATGATGATGATGATGATGATGATAATAAACTCGTCCTCGTATACGAGTTTGTTTGTTATCATTATCAGTTACATTGTCTGTTGTTATGTCAATGTTATACATTTTTTAGAGTGTAGCCCCCCCCTGGTTGCAACAGCGACATATATGTACCTCATCTTCAACCCTCACTTCGAAGTAGAAAAAACGCAATATTAATCTAATACACTTCATAGTTTTGAATTCCCTGTTCTGTTTATCATTTACTGTCATTTTAGGCAACATATAATTACTGAAAGTGACTTCTGAAATTCACAACGATATTTTCCTGTGTGTTCACAAATATAAATATCGGGTATTTACTCGAAGAAAAAGTAGCATATCAGTGTTTTTCATCAAATCACCAATGATAATTCTGAAACGTCGCTGATAAGCCTAAAATCGTTTAGAATGTTTTGGATAATAGGCATACACGAACGCCGAAGTGTACCTTCCGCCATATTGTTTACAAAATGACGGTTAAGAGACGCCTATTAGATCACGTATATTTCAAACTCAGCTGGGAAACATGCATCGCTGAATTCCTCATACATTTTAGAATCAAATGACAAATGATCTTTGTCACCAATACAAATTATTTAGATGAAATCAAGCGAAATAAATTTGGTGTGGAAACGAACACTGTGCTCGGAAAACTGTACTTGCTGAAATGTAAAAATTCAGATTTTACACTATGTAGCCCTTTTAGAGGTACTTTCGTCTAATTGGTGCATACATTAGCTCGATCACGCGTTTGAGAATATTAATGAGAAGAGTATCGTTGCACGAATTATAGAATTGCAAATATATACATTACATTGATGGTAAATTCAAAGAAATCGTAAAGGTTTCCGTCTTGTGTGACGCCATGACCGACGCTAAATCAAGCACAACGACGAGGGTAGTTATCTGGACTTCTGAATGATTCTCTTGGTTACATTGGAAAACTCAAAACAAGTAAAAGTACGCAGATTGTCAGAATGTCTCTGATTACTTACGTGACACATTTATGTATATACGATCCCTCAATCAACGAAACTCCTCCTCTGGAAATCCCGCGCACTGTTGTCATTTAACACGCCATTTTATAAAAACGTATAGATACGTTTTGAAACAACTCGTTGTAGGATAAATGGTATCCAACAGACACTCGTGTTGTAATCTCTATGTCAGAGAGCTTTGACTACTATACCTTATCCATTCTTATGGGATGTGTGAGCATTATGGAAAATGAGCCTTTGTAAACTCAGAAAAAGAGGGTCTATAATTGCGAACGATGATGAGCACAATAGTCCCTATAGGAATTGTGATTAAGGAAGTCGGGGGAAGGCAATAGACACCTATGTGCTGGTTCATTTATAGGTCTAACAACTGAGTGTGTCCAACAGAGATTTAGATATGTATACACCATGCAATTAAGAAAGTGGTCAACTGTAACAGACTGTATTTCCTACATCGAAAACACGCTGCGCTTATCAAAGCTGATGACTTTCTAAATCTCTGTAACAAATGTTTTATTTGGGATAACACTTTCTTAGTAAAGTACAGATCCTTGTACATTTTTTGGTTGAGTCCCGTCCGGGATTCGAACCCAGACCTGCCAGGGTGAGGCACCTAATAGCAGCACACAAAATGTCAGCGATCTAACCAACTCAGCCACCGAGGCTTCCACACTTAGATCGCAAACAAGTACAAGAATCTGTACTTTACTAAGAAAGTGTTATCCCAAATAAAACATTTGTTACAGAGATTTAGAAAGTCATCAGCTTTGATTAGCGCAGCGTGTTTTCGATGGAGGAAATACAGTCTCTGTCTGCACAAATCTTTGTTTTATGAAACACACATTGACCAATGTTCAGTGGGATAACTAATTAAGATATTAAACCTTGTGTTTAAAGCGGCATTTGCGGTAGGAACACACACACACACACACACACACACACACACACACACACACACACACACACACACACACACACACACACACACACACACACACACACACACACACACACACACACACACACACACACACACACACACACACATGCGCTTGTATTCACGGCACTAAACGTATTCCTGTAGTGTACGGTCGGTGTATTTGCAGTTTATGAATAGCATTTTTTTAAATATCCAAGGCTATCGATGATTTTTTAAGTTTGTTTTCGTCGTGTTCGTCTTGCATACTGCTGGAATCTGGATGACAATGATCGTGAAAACCCTGGTATTGGTCGAAAATATTTCCAAAGGATGAAAATAGTTTTTTGGTCGTTTCAGTCACATGTTGTCATTGCCCAGTAACAATGTATTTTGGCAGAGTTCACATTTGTCCGGAAGTACCCCGTGCCGAAGTCACTCCTAGAAACTTCGCGGGTCCCGTGACCCAGATTTATATTTTGTTGTTTCGTTGTGTGGCATGCCAAGTATCATTAAAATAAGACCATCCCTATTTTTTATATGTGTTTCTTATCTCCAACCTCAACTTACAAGAGAGTAAGTTATTTTGTGACAATATTATAAATATTTTTTAGCGACTAGCTACTAGTCTATAAATTAATTTATGACGTAGATCGAGTCGCGTTGCTTCGGAAATGAATTTGTAATGAACAGCTGAAGAAAGATAAAGTTGACCTGTTATTTTATGACGGTGCAATGAAATTAGTATTTCATCGGTGCACAATTTTTGAGATTATTTATAGCGCAACCCTGTGCGCCCACGGTGATTGAGGCAGACGCTCAAACACGAACGATTCGATTTTTAATCAGGGTTGGGCTTTAACAAATACATATGAATACATAAGCTGCCTCATCTAGATGCATCTTTAATAATAGACTTCTACAAGCTTGATGTATAATGCGTGATACGTGACAAAACAGATGCATGTTCTTAGATCACTTTCTTATGGGATTCAAATGAACCCTAAACATAATAAATTTTGTTTGTTCTAAGTATGTATCCATGTCACACACACTGAGAACGTGTACACGTAATTGAATATTAACAATAATAGTATTACATGAATGTCAGGCAGGATAAGTCGCGTTTATGTTAATTAAGTTTCACATTTTTGCCCAATGCTCCATAAAACCGTACGTGTGACATCTCGTTTATGTAAATATTGTTTCGGAAGATTGTGACACTTACTGTTTCCTTGTGGAAAGAAGATGAGAGCATGACTGGTACATGATATGTTATCACATGTTTCGTTTGAACAACATTGACAGTTTGACGTTCCCATTTCGAGTTGCAATAGCTGTAATAGAGAATGTTTATTTCAGATGGATATGGCTGTCCAAGTCATCGTGGATATGATTATAATTCCACGGTGAATGTGTGTTTCAAAATACACGGTGGAACGAAAGTGACCCACATTAAAGCTACCAGGACCTGTAACTCCGAGGGTGGCCATCTTATCAGAATCACGTCAAGTGCGAAGGATGAATTTGTGTCTGCCGTTTGGCCACAGAACCCCAGTAAGCAGTCACATGAAACCTTAACAACTGTCTCCCTATTATGTTGTCAGAAGTGCTAGTCCAGTGCCTAGATTTTCTTTCGATGAATGTTTTGCATCCTGCTATTTCACATCATCTGATATTAATATCATAATTTCCAATATTATAATTATGTATATGTATTTGTCACTAGCTGCACGTCACTGAATTAATAAGACAAAATTGATATTATCTGTGTTACCATATGCTGAATGTGATGAATAATTATCAATTAACTAAATGCATAAATAAAAGATTTAATTGAAGTCCCATATCAGCTCATTCAGCCAAGATAAATCCAATGTGCCCTAACACTAAACTATATATGAATACATTTGTACAAGGGAGATTCTTTATTTGTATATATGGAGTACGATACACGACGGACGTGATTATTGTTTTATCGTCTCCTTTCTCTCTTTCCAACGAATCTGACTGTATCTTACGCGTGTGTTTTTAATCACTAACCTATATAGAAGAAACCAGAAAAGGTCAGCGCATCTTGCCCCACCGGTGGCGTTCAAATTTTTGGAAGAAAGAGCATGCTCGAGTGTACGTTAAAAGATGTGGAATGTGGACACCAAACACTGAAGCTGACCGAATAGCTTAATAACCTCTCATGAAATATGATTTGATAATTTATTATTTCAATGTGTGTATTTTTGTCACTTATTGACCAAGAAAGTAGATGGGCCTATGATGATAGTAGCTGTATTATCAAATACTTGCTTTTGTTTTGAAGTTGCGGAAGCAGGAAATCGGTATGCTAATAACTAAATTGTGAAATCTGTAAATGAACACATCAAATCAATAAATAATCAATAATTTATATTTAAACATAGTTTTAGGTTTAGAATAAATTACTTATACAATGGGTGATATAAGTAGCAGCTGCAATGAGTAACATGCCCTATCATGAATGTTAGTGCACCTATGGATGTTCCGAATAGTGTCATGTTGCACGCCTTGAACGAGACCTGCCTCCGTTGTGGAATCCAGAATAGTTGGAAGCTGGCAGGTTCTCGGTGTTTCGTAATAGATACCCAAACAGCACTCTGCAAATGGATTAGAAGCAAGGCAGGTAAAAGAAGGCCTCGAATAGGGCCTCGATTGCATATATATGGAGTGTTATCCACATGTCTACCATTAAACAATTTGAAAGGTTTATTAAGGCCTTAAGTGTGTGAGTGAGTGAGTGAGTTGGGTTTAACGCCGCTGTTAACAGTATTCCAGTAATATCACGGCGTGTCAGCTTAATGTTGGGGGAAAGCCCGAAGTGATGCAGGTTTCGGACGTTTACTTCTTCGATGAAACCCACGAGCACGGGTATGGTGCTGACAAACCTAGAACATAATCGGGGCGAATCGGGATTCAAACCCACAATCATAGGTTTCTGGCGTGTATAAGGGACGCAACTCTGCACTGCCAATCGCGGCGCCTCAGACGACTGGGTCACCCGTGCCCTATTAAGAACTTGAATACTGTACCTATCTCAAGACGTATAATGCTCTTTAAAATCTTAGTTCGTAATACACGTTTGGTATCTAATTACACAAGAGTGTCCAATTGGCTACGGGGGTCTCGACTCTTCACATGTATCTACTGCTCTCGCTCGTTCGTTGTTTACTTATCAGTATCATGAGGATTGGATTGAAACTCCTATCGTAACAACTCGTACGTTAACCCTAAAAACGACACACCCAGAAAACATAAACGTCGTGTAACCATTTACCAAGTTTGAATCAAGATGTCAAAAGTCTTTCAACGATATGCTGTATAGCTTGTTAGAGTGGAGTGTCCATATACTAGTATTTAGGTGTATTCGTACATCAATAACAAATGGAAACGTTTTGAGAAAAGGTGGCGCATTTTCTTGCTTTTGTGCATCAGCAGGAAAAACAGATACAAGATGATGTAAAAATTGATTGTTAAGTATAAGATGTCACATTACATTGGATAAAGCTGAAATAAACGACTAAATTTACTCATAATTTCAGTTCTCATCGATGGCAGGTGCACTGTGGACGGCGGCTGGAAGTACTCGACTGGAGATAATTTTACCTACTTCAGATGGAACATAAATAAACCTAGCGCTAACTGTCCTACTTCGAGCGAGTGTCTGGAAACAGCTGTGTCTGGGTTCAACGACATCTCCTGTTGGTATGACCGTCCCTTCATGTGCGAATTCGATATATAAGCCGCGCAAAGCAAAATATATTGAATGTGTTTTTGGATGGTAAATATCCTGTATTAGGAATAAACATTGTATTTAGAGAGACCTTTCGAGCTTAATACGTTGTGTTTATTAGTAATACAGAATATTTACCAATTTAGCATCCTACAACACACAAGCGTGATAACCTCTTTATGATAATGTCGTTCTTAAATCTGTCGTCGAAAAACCTGTTCTCATCTCTCACAAACAATACCTAAACATTGCAAGTTTACCTGGAATGTGAGCAGTAATATATATTACGTCAAAAGATCGGTTATTTGGCAGTCGGTCAGTGACAACAATCAATATAGTTCCAACTGAAACCTGTTTTCTAAACAGTGGGTTAACTACATATAGGCAAAATAACAGCTGACACGCCGTGATATAACTGGAATAATGTTAAAAGTTGCGTTAAACCCAACTCACTCACTACTTGTTTGTAATTCTTCAGGTTGAAGATAATACAAGTGCACTGTGAAATCTGTTTGTGAATGTGTTTAAAGTGTTGCCGTAAAAGTATACTTTACACCTTCAAATGTAAAGGTGAAAGTTCTGTTTTAATTCAATATTTTTATATAACCTCTTCATGGGTATATGCATTTCCAGATTCGTATACTAAATCATTTATAAACATAACTTCTTTATAGACCCATTCTGCATTAAATGCACATTTCTTACGTTGAAAATTGTAATATTACCTTTACACCTACTTCATAAGTTCAGTGGATCATGTTCACTTTTCGTATTTTATGTTGATGATGTCACTTACCAAAATAGTGACCACGCTTTCAAGAACTCTGACCCAAATTTTGAAAACTGTTTGAGTTAACAACATAAGTAGGATCTGCAAACTATATCCTATATAGATAAATATTTGGAGAATACTCATGGTCCTTATCATAAGATTATGTGAGATATGGCTGCACACGGCTGCAGGCTGCAGTGACTTTGTTTCTGCAGCCCATAAACTGTTCCATAGTGTAAAGGATTAGAAAACGAGGAAGGAGGAAGGATCAGCTAAACGGCAACTGTGTCGGTTAAGGAGAGCACAGCTGTGTCTGGGTTCAAAGTCATCAAACTGTGACAATCATACGCGAATTCAATATGAAAAGCCGTCCACAGCAAACGTTTTGTAGTGTATGTAATTGTTAATTATCTAGATCAGTCTGGTGAGTGTATGCATTGCTACCCGTCATCCGTAACCAATATAATCACACAAGCATGGGTTGCCCAAGACCTGTTCTACCCGGATCTTCATAGGTTGTTTCATTTTGATTACTGTCCAAGGGAACATTTCTGTATTGGGGCAAACATGCAATAACAGAAGTCTTTGTCCATTAAAATGTATTTTCTATTTCGTTGAAGGGACAGATATACTTGTCTTTAGCTAACCCTAATTTTGATGTGCGTTCTCCATATTAGACTTCCACATTTCGTGTATTCTTTTGATTCAATAAAGTTTGATAAACTGTTCTACTTATGTATTTGTAATTCTTCAGGTTGAAGATACTCATGGTATAAACAGCGTGGTATGTTCCCTGTGAAACCTAGTTTCTGTGTAAAGGTTTTAAACTATGCAGTAACAGTATTCTTCACACCTTGAAATGTGAGTTTAATTTCAGTATCTTTACATAAACTCGTCATAGGTTTGTGCTTTTTCAGATTGGAAAAATAAATAATTTATAAACACCCATCCATCAACCCATCCTGCATCAAATGCAGAGTTCTTATGTTGAAAATGAAATATTGTTATTACGCCTATTACATTGGTTCAGTGGATCATGTTTTCCTATTATATTTTGTTTAGATAAAGATACCAGTCACGTATTTTGGCAACACTTGGAGTAATTTTACCAACTTATGTTATAACAACATAAGTAGGATCTGCGAACCATATCCCGTCTTTCATAGAAAGATTTAAAGAATACAATGTCTCGTCGTCCTTTTAAAGTTTTATGCACACGACAGCAGCTTGCATTGAATTCCTGTCATCAACCCATGGATCGTTCCTTGATGAAGGTAAAAGCATGATGGCAGAAGTGTGTGGGGATCTTCTCTTTCCAAAGATGTTACAAGAATAGTGTCATATTTACGTATTTGTTTGCTGCTTGACAAGTATAACTGAAATGGTATTGGGACTGTACATACATGTGTATCCCAGAAAGTTCAGCCTTTTGTCATGAGAAAAAGAAGGATGACATGCTTTGATTATACATCACAAACAATGTGGCAGAATTGACAGGAATACATGAGTGGGAAACGTTTCTTTCAAAGTACACAACATTTATCTTCAAGCTTCATTTATTATTCTCTTTTTTGTATAGGCAGACGGTTTGTGGTTGTCACAACAGTTTGACGTAGGTCGATAGCTATTGATCAAGAATGTAGATTACACAATCCTGGACTCGGTATTGATTATTGTGATATATCATGAAAAGGAGATTATAAATATTATTCTACGAAGCACTGGAATCCTTGGTAAGATGAATGCTCAACATCAAGAGACAATTGTCATTTTGTCTACATATGTATGTAATTTTAGCAGTTTAATGAACACGTGCATATTCATGATGCTTTGATGTTGGGTTACATCCTATTGCTATGCATATAACATATATTCCACTTATCAATATAAGGGTGTAATGTCGCAATAGAATGTTACCCACTTTTGTATGACTTGGTCCAAATCCAAAACAATTATAAATATAAATTGTAGCCATTGCAATCAGGATTAGTAGTTCTGATTTATCATATCTTTCAATGTATTAATGTTTTTATCCCCCCTGTGTATCTAATGCTTATGGCCCTTTTTGATCAGCATGTATAATATAAGCTCGTGTACGTTAATTGCGTCGGCATAAGTTGAAGAGTTTATACAATTTACAGTTTGGTAATACCTTTTGGAAATTATCAGAAGCCATTCTAGTCGTTTTTAACGTGTCATTATTCCTAAAACTGTCGAAATGTCTTCATGGACGAGTTAACATTCTAAAGATAATGGTATATTCTCATGTAAACGTTTTACCTCAAGCACCGAAAATTTATCCTTCAAGTCTTCTCTGGTTTATACTTTTTAATATGCTTTAGTTTCTAGTAATATTTTTTTATTCATTTTTAATTTTTGACCCATCATTCGTGTGTAGGTAAGTCCCCATGGTCCCCAATGAGGTGGCCTAGCTTTGGTTATCGGTGGCCTCTAGCCCGTTTTGAAACAGTTGTAAATAATATTATTATGCCCAAAAATGTTTGACAAATTTGGTTATAAATATAACTTTGTATTCATGTTCTCGTCACTATATGGCTGAAATAGTGCCTATGTGACGTCAAATTTAAAGTCACTCGTTTGCAGTTTTGTGATAGATTTGTTTAAATTGATTATTTGAAGAACGTCAAAGAAGCTTATGTCATGGCCTGCTTTTTCGGCGTCTTTCATTGTCGTCGCCTGTAAACATCATCTCCTCAAAAAGCACTCCACCAATTAAGCTGAAACTAAACACAGTTATTCCCCATCAATGATAACACCTGAATGTGCTGACAAAGAAATATCCGAATTCAAAGCTAATATGTGCATAATCCAGTCACTGTCACACCATAATTTACAACAAAAACTGATTTTCAACATTAGACTTTGATTTGACCACACTGAAAGCTGATTCTTCTTACAGATGGTACTCATTTTCAAAATGTAATGAAATTTCGATATGTGTAGATAGTAGTGGGACTCCACACTTACGTTCCGTTTTTCACGACATTTTGAATTTTGACCTTATTTTGACCTTTGCAGTTTGTACTTTGAGCAAGATTAAAAATTCGTTTAAATGGATTTCTTTGCACTATAACCATCATCTCATCAGAAACAATTGGACCAATGAAGATGAAACCTTTCAATAACGCCACCACATGTACAGCAACCATGTTATAAAAACTGTGGCGATTACCCAGCTATTTGTGTTTCAGATGTATTGTTATTTGGTATATCTGGAGTAAGTAGCGTGGCTTAACCGTTTTGTGTGACATTATATATTCTGAACTTGATTTGACCCCTTTGCACTTTAACCATGATCCTAGATTCTAGGCTCTGTAAACATCTTCTCAGAAAACTTCACAGTCTAGTTCCCACCAGTGATGACACCTCAATTCAAGGGGTTAAAATCCGATATAAATATGACCGCAACAGAGGCTAACACGAAAACACTATGTATGGCCACTGCTTAGCCATATATGCTCTTACATTCTCTCAAAATGCTTTGTTGGCTCTGAATGACGATTGTTCCACTTACCAATACAAGGGTGTAATATCGCCATAAAACGTTACCCACTTTTGTATTACTTTGTCCAAATCCAAAACAATTATTAATATAATTTTTAGCCATTGGAATCAAGTTAGTAGTTCTGATTTATCATATCTTTCAATCAATTAATCTTTTTACCTCTATGTGTATCTAATGGTTATGGCCCTTTTTGATCAGCATGTTTAATATTAGCTCGTGTACGTTAATTGCGTCGGCATAAGTTGAGGACTTTATAGAATAAACAGTTTGGTAATACCTTTTGGAAATTGTCAGAAGCCATTCTAGGTGTTTTTAACGTGTCATTATTCCTAAAACTGTCCAAATGTCTTCATGAAGGAGTTAACATTCTAAAGATAATGGCATATTCTCATGTTAACGTTTTACCTCAAGCACCGAAAATTTATCCTTCAAGTCTTCTCTGGTTTATACTTTTTAATAATATGCTTTAGTTTCTAGTAATATTTTTTTTATTCATTTTTGATTTTTGACCCATCATTCGTTTGTAGGTCTCCTCTAATTCTCGTTCAGGTGGGCAGTACAGATCAATATCAAATGTTACGTGGAAATATTATGATTTCGAAGTATGGCACGGGCTGTGAGAGTTGCTGTCTGGAAACTTTATCGATGATGCGTCGTTCGAATCCATATGTCGTGTGGATGGGTTGTCCCCCGGGGAGAGGGGGCCAACTACGGGGACGGTCGGTGACGCAAATGTTCTGTTGATAACGTCCCAATTAATGCCATTGGGTGTTCCTGTGAAGGTTGAATTGAAGTGCGACGTCGTGGTGTGACGTAACGGATTCAAAACTTAAAATTGCTGTGGCTTGTCATCTGTCATTTTCACTTCAAGGTAAAATCTCAACAAACAGTCAAGGTGGATATTTGGCCTTTAATAGAGAACATGAAGCATTTCCTCCCGAATATTCGTTATTTTTTGCAAAAGACATGTATATTATATGGTTTGCTGCGTTTCCTTTAGCTTTTTCAAAATTATATTCTCTGTTTCAAATCCGAACATTCATTTGAAGGTTCTTCACAAACAGTATCCAGCATGGTGAGTTGACTGTGTGCTGTGTGTACATGTAATACATTATATTATGACAATCGACTGATTGTAAAAAAGTGTTCAAGTATAGGAACATGAAAGAATAGATAACAAAACAAAGGGCAAATAGTTAATATTGAATTGGGTCTATTTACTCCATGTATTCGCTTGGTAGATACACAAACCGAATTGACCAGGACTTCTTCATTGCATTTAGAGAAGTTTCAATGTTGATTTTTACACCGTTATCAGGGTGGGCAACGCCATAACCCTTCATGTTGCAGAATTTATTGTAAATGCTTTTTACACGAAGATGTAGTGGTAGAAACATCTGTACACAAGTTGCTCTTCGGGGATATCAGTTTCATTCTTCACAGAGATAGCTGGTGTTCTCTACAACCAAAGATTGTCTTGGTGTGTATGGTCTTCATTGTCAACAATTGTGACGTATCTATTAGGGCCTGTGTCACCGGGTCCTAAAACTAGTCTAGTGACAACCTGGTGACCGCACCGGTCCCCCGCTTTGATTGTCCGGCGATCGTCGTTGTACAGCGTCATTACACTCTTAGAGAATTAGTGACCCGACTGTTTCATTCTCTTGTGATTTAATGACACATCTTACCATGTATGTTATCTCATATATGTTTTCTACCTTATACATCTTCCGTATGGATATAGTAGTAAGTTTGCTATTCATGTTCTCCCCATGTTAAGAAACACACTTTGGCTAAGCACCCCAAACTATTGTATTCTCCGGTTGTCCTCGCGCAGTATATATAAACTGTGTCAGGGTCAGGCCGTTTTACGAGTCGGTTCGCAACTGAGTGGTCGCTCGAAACACAGGTATCGTTAGTCAGTGATTACGGGGCACTGACTTACTCTGGTTGTATTGAGCTGAATTTAGTAGTAAGGGTTTGCAATTAATACTCCGTGTTTCGATTAATCCGCGGATAAACAACCTTCCCGTGATTGTCTAGCTTTTGGGGAATTTTAGTATTTCCTTGCTCAGTCAAAGTGGTTGAATCTTCAGTCTATTCGACTAGTTTGATATTCAGACGATCTCGTCTATTATATTATCGAAGGGACTTATTTTAGGGATAGACCCTCTGTGTTCATTTCTCGGTATTGAACCCAGG